CAACCTACAGCAAAAATTAGGTTGCCCATCAGAAAGTTACATGTACTACTTTCCTCAAATTAAGTAAAATAAATGTTACATACATAAGCCTTTGAAAAATTTCTAACAGCCTTAGTTAACTGATAATTGTAATAGCCATTAATACCTAAAAGTAAAAAGCATCTGCCGGATACAGTGGTGCAGGCCAAGTGGGCATGAAGAGTAAGCTGGATCAGCACGTCAGCAGAACTGTACCTGCGTGATATAGCACTTCGGCAAAACGTCTCATTTAAGGTCGTACTCGCGCATATTAGGTTAATTTCCCGTCTATAGTTTCCAAATGTTATATTGGAAAAGATATTGTCTGCCACAGACAAAATACTGATCTAACGTTGACCAAGAATCCAATGAAAACCGTGAAAAATCGGGGGTTTGCGCAGGTGCAGTACATTCTGCATGTGTTAGCTGGATCCACTAAAGGAAGATAAGACTCATACTTTGAACAACTTGTCTTTTTGTCAGGATCAAGATCCTTTTCATGGATTTCAGACACCCAACACCTCAAACACCACGACTACTTCAGAGAAGTTTATGTTGTACACAATTCTGTTTACTGCCTAGACCTGCTGGAAGAGTCCATTCTTTAAAATTAATTGGGGGACAATTTTTTCCAGTTTGGACTCTTTTGGTAATTATGAAAGGTCCACAACTGTAGAATGTTTAGTGGAAGCTGTGGCATATAACATTACATTGGGGCCACTGAAAGAATCCTTTTTCAAGAATTCAAGTCTGGACTGGCGTGGTCATGAAATTTAGTCCATATTTTTTATGAAAATGTTTTAGCCTGGACCATAACAACATAGCATGAGGGCCTCTAGAATAGTCCATTTTCTTGAAACATGGACATTTTTTTAAAATTCAATATTGTCCATATTACATGTATATGTGAAAGTAATTTTGGACTAATCCATAACATAACATATGTGTCGCTGGAAAAGTCCATTTGTGAATAGGGGAACAAGTTGTTAGGATTAAATTGGGAAGGCTCCATTCACATTTTCCCATTCCCAAGATGTATTACGCCTGGGGAGTAAAATTATAGTGCTGGTGTTTTTTTGTGTGTTTTGGGGCATTTCATGCTCAACATTAATGGACTTAAAACTGTACTATGGGTGGAATCTGACAACATACAGAATTAAATTTTTGTGCTCTTTCTAACATGGAACATGCAACATGACAGTGGTAACGCTATAGATACTGTCTAGATCTGTCAATAGACCAAAAGGAGATACAACTATATTGCTCGATTCATTGATTCAATGATTCAACAGATATTGTCATATTTAAAGGAGAAACCTTCATCAAAGAACATAAAAAAAAACCACAAAAACACAAAATTCAGATGGTGCTATGCTACCTGGGAATTTTTACCTCCCTGGAGCAATGCATCCTGGGAATGGGAAAATGTTGAATGTCAGTAGGCACATCCAGTTCAGGGATCTCCCCAGAAATTTAGAGCATGATGGGGAAGGTGCAATGCGTGTTACGGGGGAGGTCAGGAGGTGGTTTCCTGGGGGGGGGGGGGGGAGCTATTGTACTTTGTCTTTTCCAGACACAAAAGGATGTCATTTCCTGCAACTTCAGTTCTACGTTCTACTTCTTCTCTACTATTACAAAATGTTCAAGATGTGTACTTAAAAATGTTAAGTCATTGCTTATCCTTTGTTCCCCATGTTCCACTTAAAAACAAAGGTAATTGTTAGCATCACTAAATGTTCAACAACAAATTCAACAACTGAAAGATACACTGTACATGCATTTTCTACCTGGAACTTGGGAAGTAACCAGGGAAATTACCGACACTATAACAAAATCTAAACATAGTTACATTTGTAGCTACCTAATCATATTTTCTTGAATCATTTTCCTAATCAAATCACATATCCACACCCTAAAAAAAGAGTTTTTGAGACACTCTGACTTTGAAAGTTTGAGTTTGAACTGACAGAGAAATACAACAACTTTTCTTATACTTTTTCTTCTTGTTTCAAAGCTTTACATTTTAAACTTTTTTTCTTGAAAGTTGAAAAACATCATGCAAATAACGCAAACTAGGAAGGTCAGTTTAATTCATTGTGGGCTTACAGAATTTTTGCAGGATCCTTCCACTGAGTCACCTGGAAAAGAAATTTCAAACCAGTTGGAAAACAGTTGCAGACAAACTAAATGCAATTTTGCACATAAATTTTTCAGATTGCGCCTAAAAATTTTTTGTCAATGTGCAATTTTGCACGTACCTGAAAAAGTATTTTAAGCCCTGCGTTTTATACATTTTGCGGCCTCAAAACTCCTATCATAATGAAAGGAAATCAACTTTTTATTTTCATGTACATTTCATCTGGGAACAAATTATTCTTTTGCTACACTGCTGATACTACAGTCTACAAAATACTTCTTTGAACCAGGTAGTGGGCAACCTACAGCAAAAATTAGGTTGCCCATCAGAATTTTAGGTTGCCCCACCTTAAGTTACTACTTTCCTCGAATTAAGTAATGTTACACACATAAGCCTTTGACAATATTTCTAACAGCCTTTAGTTAATTGATACTAGTAATAGCCATCAATACCTAAAAGTAAAAAGCATCTGCCAGTTACATTGGTGCAAGCCAAGTGGGCATGATTTGGGGGGGGGGGCATTCTTAAAATTCAGGTAGCACACTGGGCTACCTAGGTCCAAAAATAGGTTGCCCCAAGTAAAATTTGGTTGCCCGGGGCAACTGGGCAACCAGGTATTTTGCACTCTGTAATAGTGTTCTAAAGTGTTGAAATGTGCAACCATGCAGTCAGGATTTGCGTGCTTTAGTTTATGATGTAAACAGTTGTTTACATGAAAACTGTGTCGTTAAACGTCCATGGGATCTCTGCTGTTCCACCAATAACAACATTTTCTGGGGGTGTCATAGCGAGATTGACAATCATTGACAATGCACAAGGTTGTACAGACAATGGTGGGCAATTAGTGGCACAATCTAGGTGATTAGCGGCTACATCCACTCATGGCTGAAGAAACAGCAAATGATGAGCAAATTTTGAAATTTGGGAATAAATAATCTAATTTCAGGGCTCGAAATTCATTTTTAGGAATAGGTGCACCCAACCTAGAAAATTAGGTGCATAAAAATTTTTTTGGGTGCACCATATAAAACAAAACCTTATTATCGATCTTATTGCTCCTCTTCTAAGCTTGCAACTGATGAGGGAGCTAACTTCAAAATCTTACACAAGAACTACAACAAAGATTTTATTATTTTTCTGACCCTTAGATGCCAAGAATATTTAAAATGTACAAAATTACCTAAAAAAAATGCACCCACAGAAAGAAATTGGGTACATAGCTCCAATTTTGGGTGCACTTTTAAGTGCACATGCACCCAGTATTTCGAGCCCTGAAGTTTGAAAAGCAATAGGCTGGGGCTGAGACAAGACCAGGATGGTGCAGCATTACGAACCCTGCAGTTTCAGGGTGAAAGGCACAATGTTTGGCTGTACAAGGTTGGACCAAGTTCAAGTTAACTATAAACAGTAACCAGGATTAGTAACATGATGACGTAATCCCCATGCGACACAATCTACCATTAGCATGAAGGCTCATCTGTTGGTTTACTTCATTATGACAAAAAGGCTAAACGTTCTGACCAACACTGAGTAAATTGGGACTTACCCAAATTTTCGGCCAGCTCCGTCAGGAGACTAGGACAAGTTTCATAAGATAAGGCCACACTAAATTTAATTTCTTGGTTAACGGATTTTTCTAGAAAAATAATGGAGCGGGCAGGCGAAAAAAAAACAGGCCTAGGCATCCTATTATGGTCCAAAATGGTACGATAGGAGCCATGAAGTCAACACACCAGGCTGGTTCAAAATTTAAACAATGAATTTTGAACTTTTAATGATATACCATTGTATTTAAAGTTGGAATAACTGTAACAACTAGGAAGAAAAGGACTGTTTTCAGCTGTTTAGGGCAAAATATGAGCATTTTGCAGTTGATCCGGAATTTTTATTTTTATTTGCAAATCAGGCCACACCAATTTAATTTGTTGGTTCTCGGATTCGCCTCTTCGTTTTTTTCTTATTTGCAAAAAAAAAAATTTGATTCTGGTCCTGAATCAACTGAAAAATGCTCATGTTTTGCCCCCCAACAGTTCAGGAAAGTCCTTTTCTTCCTAGTTGTTACAGTTTTCCCATCTATCATTGCAGTGGTTTGATTAAAAGTTCAAAATTCAATGTTTAAAATTTTAACCCAGCCTTTTGTGTTGACTTCATGGCTCATTTTGTAGCATTTAAGCCTATAATAGGATGCCTAGACCTGTTTTTATTTTATTTTCGTCCCTGTCGCTTCATATTTTTTCTGAAAAAATCCGAGAACCAACAAATTAAATTGGTGTGGCCTCAGAAAAAAATGAAACGGGCGAATCCGTTAACCAAGAAATTAAATTGGTGTGGCCTAAGGGCAGGACATTGAAATCAAAGTCATCCACAGGATTATCTATACATAAATACACAATGGCTTGAACTAAGGAGCACTGTTAAAAATTTACATTCAGAGGTCCGGAATTTGGTTTTGAAGGAGGTAATAGTGGGAGCTGTGCAAATATAGGGCACAGGTTTCCCACTGGAATGTGATCCGCACATTTTGGTCACCAGTTCCGCAGTGTAAGGAGTTGTTAACTATTTGTGACTGGTACTGTACCCTCGTCAATTATACAGATCCATCCACAACTTGAACCCTACAAAGAATAAACATTCTGCTTGGCAAAGGTAGTAATTTTCATTGTCAAAAATGTCAGGTATTGTTTAGATGCTTTACATTTCCTCAGTGCAATAATGAATTCCACTGCTAGGTGGAGCTGCAGTAGTGGGAATGCAGTCCCAAGCATGACTCACCCAATTGGCCAGTGCAGTCACAGTCAAAAGGCACAATAAACTAACCAGTTGATGTAACTGTTGTTTGGTGCAGGAATTCTATGAGCATACAGAACTCCTGTGGAAGGATGGTGGCGTGCAGGCCTGCTATGAGAGGTCCAACGAGTATCAGCTCATCGACTGTGCACAGTAGTAAGTATGATACAAATGTCATACGCTATGCTGGATGAGAAGTCATCAGCATTGCATCTGTCAGTATGTCAGTATTTTTTTCCAACCATCTTAACAATTGTTTGACTGAACATGTCAAGCACTGAAAGCAGAAATGTTTTGGAGATGGAGGGGGTGGTCCATGGGCATGGAAAATTGATAAATCTGGACCTTCTGATAAACCATCTCCTGCATTTTGAGGGGCAAGTTTTCTAGTAAAATTTTGAGCTCAGTTACATAACTTTACATGCCGATTTTTTTGAGTGTCAAAATTTTGTCAAATGGCAGAAAGACAGATGTTCACTGCAAGGTTTCTTTCTGTCCTACCTGGCCCATTGAAAATATGTTTTTACTTGTGCCAATGAATTCTGACGAAAACTCTAAATACTTCCCATTTGCACTTGGCTTCTTTCTGATTCAAACTTCACTGTTTTCTAAGAATCAAGCCCAATCTGCACCATGGCTAAGTCGTTCATATTGAAATATTTTGGTGATGCACTCTGCTCTGTTGAGTGTGTCAATGGCCAAAATAGTACATCCACAACCTGGGGGCCACAGGTGTAAAAATGATGTCATTCTGCTACTGAATCATAAGGGCAGTCTGTCGTGTTAATATAATTATTTATGTCCTACCTTGGCAGCGATTACGTTCGATACGGGTGTTCCGGCCCATGTGATACTTAGCGGTACGCCCCGGGGGTTCTTGACGCGTACGGCCCGGGGCTTCCAAATGTTCTAAGAACGATTCGAACGCGTTTCGCCCTAACCTGTGTGCATCGCTTTCGAAAATTTGAACACAAAAATCGGACATTAGAATTGATGTTGTTGCATTTTTTGGCTTTGGGAAACACCAAATTTTTGCTCATTTTGCATTGAAAGTCTTGTTTTCTTGGGTGGGTATGACATAGTCCCAGCCCTCCCGCGGATCGGATCTCCCTCCAGCCTTCGGCCGTCGGGCGATCCAACCCGCGGTCGGGCCGGTACCTCGGGCGATACGGAATACACCGTGTTGTATTCTATATGTACTAATGATGACATTCTGTTTCAGTTTCCTGGATAGGGTCCATTTAGTCAAGCAGCCAGACTATGAACCAACAGATCAGGTCAGTCCAGCTTTTGGCTCTAGCCACAAGTACCTCAGGGTTTGCAATACCACGGGCATATCTATGTGCAGTGGAGCTGTGCAGGTATCTCTGATGTCTACCTGCACCTAACCTGCACTGGTCCATGTGCTGGGTATATGCAGGTTAGTGCAGGTAAAATTGGAGCTGTGCAGGTATTTCTGATATCTACCTGTACCTAACCTGCACTGGTCCATGCACTGGGTATATGCAGGTTAGTGCAGGTAAAATTGGAACTGTGCAGGTATTTCTGATATCTACCTGTACCTAACCTGCACTGGTCCATGTGCTGGGTATATGCAGGTTAGTGCAGGTAAAATTGGAGCTGTGCAGGTATTTCTGATATCTACCTGTACCTAACCTGCACTGGTCCATGTACTGGGTATATGCAGGTTAGTGCAGGTAAAATTGGAAGTGTGCAGGTATTTCTGATATCTACCTGTACCTAACCTGCACTGGTCCATGCACTGGGTATATGCAGGTTAGTGTAGGTAAAATTGGAGCTGTACAGGTATTTCTGATGTCTGCCTGCACCTAACCTGCACTGGTCCATGTACTGGGTACATGTACAAATATTTTCATAGGTTTACGTATGTAAAAGATGTTATATCTTTAAGGGTCAAAAAATAATAAAACATTGTTGTACATTTATTTAGAAATGAAACATAATTAGTTTTTGCTGACATTCTACTTACTTATATATGGTGCACCCCAAAAGAATTTTTTTTTTTCACACATTTTTTTAGGTTGGGTGCACCAGTGCACCTATTACCCAAAATGAATTTCGAGCCATGCTTGAGATACTTGTAAAATCAAGGACACTATATAGTAGTATATAATGTCCTTGGTTATATATATATTGTAACCTATAACATGTCGCCAACAAACAGCAACAGTACAAAAGAGCTCTACAGCCAAGAAAAATCTTTTCTCTTTTTAAATGATGGACACATGACTGATAAACTTTTTCCTGGGTTATTTGATTTTTGTGATTGTTACATTTTCTACAAGAGAACTTGTGATACTTTATTGTCATGTTTGTACTTCCTTGCCACTAATTTGTAGCATTCTATTCTGCAGGACATTCTACGGTGTCGTGTGTTAACCTCGGGTATCTTTGAAACCAAGTTCGAAGTTTGTGAAGTAAAGTTTCAGTAAGTACAATTATATTATCATCCTTTGTATCATTTTGACTTCTATGTCTTGTATGATATCTCGCTAACTGTAGATACGATTATTATTATTTTAGTCTTGCTGTTATATTTTGGTATTGCATCATATTCAAATATAGTCAAGTAGCAGACAAGTCAAACGTAGCACTCAGAGTATGATGCGAGTGAGAAAAGCACGACGCATCTTTTTTCACTTCAAGGTGCTTTGATGAATTTGGGTACATATACACAGCTATTCCTGGATCAGGGTGTATCAGGGTCAGGCTGGGGGGTGTCCAGGGTGTCTTTTGGACGCCCTGTACTGAAAATAATAAGAAATTGGACGCCCTACTTTTTTGTAGGACACCCTAAAGACGCCCTATTTTTTCCACTCCCAACCCTTGCCATGCACACATGCCTCCCTTCAGCCTTACTATAAATACAAAAATGATGGTTTACTGAAGGAAAAAACTCAAATTTACACCTGAAAATGCAGAAAGTAGTGTTTGAGAGCATTATGAATTTCAAAAAAGCCCCCCTAAAATCTTGCACTCAGCACGTCTTCACTGTGCATAGCATTCAATAAAAAAAATGGACACCCACCACAAAAATCCTAGCTAAAAGCCTGACCAGGGTGTTATACTTGGGCCAATTTTTCAGGATTCACATTTTTCCACTTTCAAAACTGAAAATTGTACTACAAGTGATACCATGGCATGCATATGCTTTTTAAATTTTTGGATAGCGACCAGCTGTTTAAAAGTTATGCTCCTTCAAACTTGAGTGCATTACTTTACAATGGGGTTTATACGGACACTACAGGCACTATAACTCATTAGGCACATAAAGACAAAACTTGTTTCATATTCTAACAATTTGTTTCAAATGTGAAATGAGGTTACAGAACTAAAAGGGGGGTACACATTTTCTTGAAAATTATTTCAACATTGTTCCAAAAAATGTTATTACACTTATGTATTTTGGTTATATGGTACACAACCTCTACGTACACTACACATCTCTATGGACATTACAACTAATTTGTGACTGTCATTTTTAAATGTACTACCATTATCAAAGTGGCTTCTGTCATAAGGCTGCCTTGTTTACATGTTTACATGTGTCAGATGTCATTGTCACTGTGATACATGGCAGCCAGTTCAGAACCCAGCACAGCAGCTAGAAAAAGAACCTACATTTGAAAAGCTGTGTTAGAAAATACTGTAACTTACAGTTACAATGTCATGAAAACACTAGTATGTGTCTCAAAAGTATGTTATGAGATCCAGGCTTCCATATTAATGTAAATCAGATACTAGGATAACAGTGACTTTACAATTTGACTAAACATGGACTTACTCCATTTTGCTAATTGTGTATGCATTTGTATTGTAAAATAATTATTATATACTTATCCAAAATAGCAAAGTCAAGGCCAACTTACATATAGCATATTATAACTGAATATCATAGAATTTGACACTATGTGTTGGTTGTATTATATGACATGTATGCAACCCTTTCTGTGTAGTTCAGACGCATTGTTTGATATGATGATAGTTATTGTGTGTTATGAGAATGCACAGATATTGCTGTGTAGTTTGTAGGTGGGTTGGCATGATGTGATCCGGACCTTGATGTGCATGAGGTAATGTGGCCTTTCTGTTCTCCTGCAGCATGTTTGATGTAGGAGGTCAAAGGGATGAAAGAAGGAAATGGATTCAGTGTTTCAATGGTGAGTAAATGACGTCTAGAAATGGTTCAATTGATGCAGTATTATGTTCTGTCACCATTCCCTTTTTTACCCCCCAAGTCACAACGTGTTGGAACATTGGGATGTGCACTAAGATTACTTGACTCTCCTTCGCAGATGTAACAGCGATAATCTTCGTGGTGGCTTGCAGTAGTTACAACATGGTGTTGCGGGAAGACCCCAGCCAGAATCGCCTTAGGGAAGCCCTAGACCTTTTCAAGAGCATTTGGAATAACAGGTGAGTCCATGTGAATGGCAGTACTGTGACAGCACGTCGGCAGAACGTACTGCGTCTGTGCGAAATCTGTAATGCTGTGCATAGCACTTTGGTAGAACATCTCATAAAGGGTTGTATGCAAAGGGTGCCATCTGTAATGGACAAAATTCTGACCAAACATACAACAAAAACCATGAAACATCCAAATTTTGCACAGGCACAGTATGTTCTGCTGACATGATTATTATTTTAGAGTGGTGTAGTATATGACGTTGGTTTACATTTAAGTCTTGTGAGAGATGAATTTAGTCTGGATCAGGGTTCCAGCCAGCGCCTGTATTTCCGTCATTTGACGGAATTTTGTCGCTCATGACGGCCCAAAATTTTGCCCAATCCATGACGGTCCAATCACCGGCTGAATAACGCGGCGCATCACGAAAAATGAACCAATGGCAGACAAATCTCGCGATTCGCGAGATGTTAGTTCAGCGTGAATTCGCGATATTTTGTCGGAAATTTAAATAATGGCGCCAAGGACATTCAGTGAGGTTACCGACAAAAGTTACCAGAAAATACATGGGCGGAAAGATAGGAAGCCATTATGTCATTTTGTCTAAAAGTAAGTTGTGTAATTCCTCATTATTTTTGTACAGAATACAGGTCACAAAGGCCCGTGTTGAAAATGTTTTATTTTGATATCTGTCTGTGTTACAAAATTTTGTTTCTTTTCTTTGCTGACCCAACTAAGGTCCACTCTTACCTCAAAATCAAGCTGAAACTTTCGTGTAATTTTTCCCCAAACGAGCTTTGTCTACCTGCAAAAATTGCCCCTCTAAATTCAGGAGATAGCATTTCAGAGGGTCTAGTTTTCAAAATTTTTCCAGGGGAGCATGCTCCTGGACCCCCTAGGATTGTCAGCGACGCCTTGCGCCTTCGCTGCTCGATATGTGGGTTTACAGAAAAAAAATTCCAGGCTGGCTATAACCCTAGTCTGGATAGCTAAATAATTCATGATAATGAAGATTAGTTCATAATATGACTTATTGTGTGAATTGCTTTGCTCTAATCTTTTGGTTTTGTTCAAAATCTGGTACAGTTGTATGAATGATGTTTTATTGCTACATGTATACATGACTGAACTGTTTAAGATATTTTGACTAATGGCTGAATCCTTTCCAGATGGCTGAGAACAATCTCTGTCATCCTATTCCTGAACAAGCAAGATCTTTTGAAACAGAAAGTGATGGCTGGCAAGTCAAAACTGGAAGACTACTTCCACGAATTTGCCCGGTATACAACACCTTCAGATGGTAAGTGAAGTGAAGAGAAGGTTCCTTACAGTCTGTCCATAATGGCACAGTTAGCAGCTGGCTTTCACAGAACATGCAGCCAACAAGAATCAAAGACAGCTGAATTACATACAACGCAGCACGTCGGCAGAACGTACTGCACCTGCGCGAAACCCGTAATGTATTGTACATAGCATTTCGGCAGAACGTCTCACATAAGGTTGTATTCGCTCATATAAGGTTAGCATTTCGACAGTAGTTTCCAAATGTTGTGTCTGAAAGAATATCCTCTGCAAGAGGCAAAATTCTGATGCAACGTTGACCAAAAACCCGACGAAAAACGCGAAAATACGGGGTTCTGCGCAGGCGCAGTACGTTCTGCCGACGTGCTATACAACACATGACTGTCATGCAACATGTGACAGGGCTTAAAGGGATCTACAATAATTCTTGCTAAGCTGTGTTGACTGCATGGCATTTTTACTTCTTGGAACAAAAGATGCCCTAATATGAAGGCTGAAAACAGGCACAACCACATACAATCAAAATACCATTATGCTGTATTGAAATTTATGTAATGCTAATGTTTCTTAATTTGCATGATGGCCACAAATCTTAGCATAATGCATTATTGGATCACTTCAGCCCCCCCCCCAAAAAAAAAAATTGAAACTTGTACCTTACTACCAACCCCAGGATCGTGTGTAGTTAGAATGTTGCTCAATCTGTATTTGTAAGTAAATGGAATCCAGGAAGAATAGATTAGATTTATTCCAATCTAAAATTAAATGGTTATCCAATAACCATAAAAAAATAACTTTCTAGATAATAGATTTTCTTAAGCTTGAATTTCATTCAAGTCTATACATTTGTTGGAGAACATCTTCAAAGATAATTCCAATTCTACTAAAGGATAAATTTGGGACGTTTTTAGTCTAATGCATCACTTTTCTTCTGCATCGCAAAAATGAACTAAGAACACTGATCACACGTGAAAGAACTGAAAAAAAAAGTTTGAACATGACAAACACAGCAAAGCGTCACTGTTATGTAAATGAGGTTCCTGTAGTTCTTATGGTAAGACAATATCATAGGAACTACCATAGGTTGTGGCAGGGCTGGGTCCTATGTACTTGAGAGTTCTACACACAGTCCTCCCTTTCAGAATGTTTTAGACCCGCATGGCTTGGTAGATGGCCTCCATGACTCCGCATTCCTGCCATGGTTCATGGTTAAGTATTTTAGTTACTCCCAGTCTGAAATAAAGAGTGTCCCTGATGATGCTGTGTCTGGTGATAGATAGCAGTTGAGTATCCCGCTTGCAGTACCTCTGCAATGTTGCTTGTAGCTTTTCTTCAGCAGGCTGATTTCTCTAATGTAGGTGTCATTGTAGTTGGGTTCTTCAGTCTGTAGGTAACCTCAGATTTGATTCCATTGTTCACGCAGTTAGTTAACATCATTAATCCATTAATATTTAACTCTAACAACCAAATTTACTCCAGGACAAATGTTGGGACTCAGCTACTATCCTCCTGTCTGAGGACACCTGAAGACCTGATTGCTCAGTAAAAGTCATTTTAGAATGTATGACGTGAGCACCAGGTCTAGGGTAGTTGTCGGTGTTTTACGATTCTGCAGAGTTAGACATGTTTCCAGTTTTACTTCTCAGCAGCGACATCTGTCGATTAAAGTCAGTACTGCATGACTGGCATCAATCACTGCATTTGCTGATGTGGGCAGGTTTAAACTCTGTTTTTGATTGGTTGTCATGTAAGGTATTGAAAGGTCTATACTTTAAAAGTTAAGAGAATTGTAGTCTATACTAAGGAGGTTGTATTGTTGCTGTAGTATTGAGAGGAGGAAAGGTTGTTTATATGGTTCTCTGAAAACTTGCCATACTAGCGGCAAATGTCCCTTCTGGGTTCACGGTGTGCAGCTCTTGTGGGGTCAGTTGTCAACCTAATTTATATTGAGAGTGTCAATTTCAAGCGTTTGGCATGGTAGGACCAGCAAATGAGGACCATATTTGCATGATCAATGAATAAGACTTCATTCTTAAAGGTTAACATGATTTGGTAAAGATCATAAATTATGGTCTTGGAACTCTTGTTGTGTAATGCAACTTTAAGTCACCCGTCCACCACCATGTTTGATTTGCCCAGCTGATAATTGATGATGATTGTTTACTAGCAAAGGTATATACATGTAACAGCCACATGCTGAATTACATCCTTTGTTACAAAATGTTACAAATCGTTATCAAATGTACTTGCCAAGTTATATTTCTTGTTGTAACTAGCACCTAAGCACGAATTCGACAGAACATGTTTCATGTTAAAAACAATAAATAATAAAACAACGGCAAATAGTAATGAAGGACAGTCGATTCCCCAGTCTTTCAGTTCTGATACTGGACATTGTATTATGGTTGTTGTTTCTGGTGTTGTGTTGTGTGTCATTTGGAACCATGGAGTGCAGATGCAGGGGGTGGTTGTCATTCTGCATTTGTGTGAAGAGTGTCTTTGCCGCTGTCTGACGTCTATCCTGATTATGACAGGCAGGGAGAGGGGTCGTCGGAATCCTGTTCTCCCCAGTACGTGCAAACCTCAATTGGTTGAGGGCTCTGTTATTATAGATGATCTTTGTATCCCTTTCAGTCAACATATGACTTGACTGTCTTCCGGTGGCATGCCACCCCTTTTAAGCATGCATAAAAAGTGGAGATGCATCCACCCTTTCTTTGCCATGTGAGTGATTTGCTGTCCCGACCAGGACTGCCGTGAATTTAAAACCTAGGCATGCGACGCACTCCACGACCAGAACTTCTTTGCCATGGAGGATGAGCAGAAGAGGAGCAGGTGGGTTTCTTGAGAAACACATTCGTAGTTCATAAGATCTGTCTCCCTGCATTATCATGTTGTTCTCATCTACCCAAGTGTCCCGTTACGTGGCTTCTTCCTGCATGGTTGTCAGTTGCAGCTAGTGCTGCATACCTAAACCCAATTTTAGGTTCAGGTCCGGATTCAAGTCCAGAGGTTTAGGTTCAGTTCTGGACTTGTAAGTCCGGACCTAAACCCATGGCATATACGAAAATTGCATGTTGGCAACCTTGCAATGTTGTCCGGGTGAAACTTTGGCCACATAACATGGAGGCCAGTACTTGACGATACGCGATGGCAATGTTTTCTTCATTTTGCAGCAAAGATTTTACAATCTACGGAAGGTTTTAGGTGGTTTGGAAAGAAAAGGGGTATGTGAAATGGTCTTTTATGGTAATAAGTCCAGACTCGGTTATTGCCTTTTAGGTTTTTTTGGACTTGAAGCTAAACATTCTTACAAGTCCGGATCCAAGTCCAGTGAACCGGTATGCATCACTAGTTGCAGCGGTGTTACAGAGAACCATCCTGGGAAGCCTGATGGCATCTGCATAACCAGTGTTGCTTGTTGTTGTGTGTACTGTTGTTCTTGAGGACATGTATACGAGGAACAGATATGGTGGAAGTATTTCCCCTTGTGGTACTCCAGACGTGAGCCGTTTGTCAACTGCTGTGCTAATTGTTGGCAAATACCCATTGTTTTCTACCTGTCCCAGCCCAACGGACCTCCAGGAGTCCTGTGGTCAACTCTGTCAAAAGCTTTTGACATGTCTGCCAACAACACGCGAACCATAGATGTGTTTCTGTGGTCCTAGTTTGTTAGCCAAATCTGATATGCTTTGACCTGTGTAAGTGTAGGCATATACACATATTGATGCTTTATCCAAGGTTTCATGAAGGGCAGGACTTTGTCCTGAACTTGCCAGGGAAGAGATGAGAGAGATAGGTCTTCAGTTTTACTTGTTGGTAGGAACAGACATTTTGGGATAGGGCAGACACTGGTTCCCACATACAAGGCATTATATATATCTGTGTTGTAAGGAAAGTTTGTCCTCACAGTACAGACTCAGTCCACAGGGATGCCTTCCTGTGATGCAGGTGTTTTTAAGCTTTACTTGGTCTGTGCTGCAGAGATCTTCTGAGCTGACAGAAAGAGGGGAAAAAAGTCCAATGCAAACTGACCAATTTTGACTTGATTTTCCGCCTTTGATTGTTGCAGTTGTCATCTCGTGCATGGTGCAAACCTGAACACAGGTGAACTACCAGTATCCATGTGTACTGTGGATGCCGGTGTTCTCCTTTAGCTGTTTTCTTGCTCTGGCTTTTCAGTATCTAGTCGTTCTTGAACAACATGTAGAATCCTTCAGGCTCTCATATCACGGAAGTGTGGTGGTCAGTGGCATTGTATGGCACTTGGTCAGTGTCTTCATTGTGCTTGAGATGGCGGCGGTGTGTCTTCCTTGAGGGCTTGTCTTGCTTCAAGGTGCTTCTAGGTTTTTTGACGACTGCCTGGTAGACTGCCAGTTTTGTGTAAAGTTTTGTGCCTGATTCACCCCCACAGATCCACCGCCTCCGCCATCCTGTTGGACACTTGTGTGCCCATGGCGCAGGATCAGGGCGGAGTCAGGGAACATCCCAGGTAGGTTGTTGAGCTCTGTTCCGTAGTCACGATGTGAGGGGTTGGCAGTGCAGGCCCTGGTGCAGCCTGAAGCCAATCATCACTCCTTTCTTCTTCACCCTGATTGGGCAGCTTTGCTTTGCTGGATGTTGACAGGCAGCTGGCTAGTCCTCGCTGATCTGGCTCCCTGAGAGTGCTGATGTCGAGAATTTTCTCATTAATTATCTCCTGATTTACATAACAATGGCAATCATCACTTAATCGTTTAACCAATCATCACTTAATCTGTCTTAATATCAAAAATCAAACCCAAGAGCTATGTACCTGACCATAGAACCATCAGTACTCACACAGTGCCATATGAAGCCAGGAGGTCCAGAGTAAATTTGTCCTTCATTTTGCAGACACCTACGTAAGAAATATCATGTGGGTCCATCCACAAGCTTGAGTCTACACATGTTTGAACAAACACACCCACAAATTTGCCCACCCACAATTGGTGGAAAAAAACATAGCCCTCTTGGCAAAGGTAATTATGCAGACATTGCAGAAGGTAAGTATGCTTACACAGTGCAACTGGAACCCAAGGCTCATTGTCTTGGCTTCCTTGCAAGCTTCCATCGCCAATATAATTATGCCTTTCAATCAAAGTTATGATAATTAGGCTACTCTCTGCATCCAATCATCACTAGCTGTACTAGTTGCCATCTCTGCTGAAGGAGTACTACACGACTTTGTGACAACAGTTTAGTGGTCCCTTAGGTCACAAAAAAGACTTGGTCATGCAAAGAAAGTTTTACACATACTTTTATTATTATTATTATTATACATGTCTGACATGTTCTCATAAATCGTTAATAGAATGAATTTTAAAGGGGCCTCATGTAACAGTTTTGCACCAGAAATTGAGATGTCTTAAATGCACCTTCAACATTTGTGAAATCATCTCATATTTCTGTATGTTATGGTTGGTGCCACACATATTGCTCTGTGGCACCAGAATGTAAACAAACATGGCAGACAGCTGTGTTTCCAACTTTTAAACATTCGTAAGAGTCATATTTTGAGACATACATTTCCTAAGTAGCACTCAATGGAGTAAGGTTGATTCAGCTTACTTTATAAAGAAATGATCAGAAAATGGACTTTTTGTATCATTCTAATGTTACATAATGCAGCATTGAAATGATATTCTATCACCTGTTCATGTTATTAATATATTGTTGATGTTAGTAATATATTGTTTCTTACTTTACAGCCCAACATGAGCCAGGCGATGATCCAGAAGTAACGAGGGCCAAATACTTCATTCGAGATGAGTTTTTGGTGAGTTTGTCTAAACCGATACTGTGCCAGTCAGAAGACCTTAAAACTCATAGAATACAGTCAAATCTACCAAGGTGACCACCTCTTTAGCTGGCCATCTGGCCATGGTGACTGCTTTTTGTTAGTCTCAAAAATTTTCCCCATTGATGGAAGCATTAAGCAACCTGTTCAAGGTACTTCAAGGTTCATGGCCAACACGACCGCAGCCACAGTGAGTGTCGTCCACAGCATTTTCAATCATGTTGATTATTGATGGTAACTAATGAAAAATTAAGAAGAAACCAGCCACTTTGGCTAGACTGCTGGATGATGTTTTTTATTCGACATAAGGCACACCAATTTTGTTCTGATTTGCAAATAAAAATAAAAATTCAGAATCCACTGCAAAATGCTCATATTTTGCCCTGAACAGTTGAAAACAGTCCTTTTCTTCCTAATTGTTACAGGTAGAGCTGTGTACCGGTACGCAGTACCGATACTGTACCGGTAAAATTGATTAGGTACAGGTCCAAAATACCTAATCCCTCAGTACCGGTACTGTACCTAAACAATTTCACACCAATTTTATGCCTATTTGTGACCTCAAATGTGTAAATAGCTGGTTAACAATGGGTCCCTGTGTAAGGACAGTGTGTTCATGAAAACAAAAACATATATATAGCCTATATTTTATCTGAGCATTCGCCATAAACAAAGAATAAACCTTAACTATCAAGTTTATTTATGTTTTTTTGTTATTGAAGGAGTTCAGAAGAGCATATAAATTGGTCGAATTGTTCAGGTACAGGTTCAGGTCCGGACCTGTACCTAAACCTGTGTACCTGTACCTGTACCTAAAATTTGTTTAGGTACACAGCTCTAGTTACAGGTATTCCATCTTTCATTACAATGGTATCATTAAAAGTTCAAAATTCATTGTTTAAATTTTGAACCAGTCTGGTGTGTTGACTTCATGGCTCCTATCGTACCATTTTGGGCCATACTAGGATGCCTAGTCCTGTTTTCATTTTTATTTTTTTTTGCCCACCCGCTCCATTATTTTTCTAAAAAAATCCGTTAACCAAGAAATTAAATTGGTCTGGCCTAAATTGTGCCATGTGCCACCCTCCCCACATTCATTCACCACAGAACTGAAGATGTTTATAGAATTTGACATAAAAGCATCTTGACTTGGAAACCATCTATGTCTCAGTCATGTTGTGAGGTGACCCTCTTCAAGGAGACCACCTGTCCAATGTGACTGCTTTTCTTAGTTCCCTGGGTGGTCACCTTGGGCAGGTTTGACTGTAGATTTGAATGTTTACACCATTACAGGCATAATTATGTAAGAGCAGAAACAGTTGTCTGATTTTGTAGATACTATTTTCCTGATTATACTTGCATTGGCAACTTGACATTGAGTTTGGACTAGTACCCTCCAGATCAATTACAGCCATGTTTAAATAACATATATTGCACATGTGAAAGTCCATATTTTTTTACATTTCTTCATAATAATGCAAATGATCTCCACATTAACATAATATATACATAGTGATGTTTACCTTTGACCAACTTACACATATTACAAGTGTGAAAAACCACTTACACTTAGACGTGTCTTCCATCATTGTAATATCAATAATTATTAGAAATTTGGTAAATATGAAATCGAAAGAAAAAGTTGAATCATCAACAAATGTTGGAGTAAGACAATGCAGATGAAGTTGAACAGAGAACTTGCATAAGTTACTTGTATACAAAAATGCCATAATTCCTTCTCCCTTTTCTTCTATCTATTGTGTCCTGTTACATGTAACTCTAAATTGGCAGTTCTAGTGATCTCATTTGATTGTATGCCATATACAAGTATGTCTAGACATAAAATGATACTGAGATTGAAGTGAATCAATTGTTACCAATAGATGATCACAGTCATACTGGCCTTAACAAGTTTTTTGTTGGGAGATTTAAGCTCCAAATAGAAAAGGCTGCTTGTATATCTACAAATTTATGCTCAAAATTACACTGAGTGTATATTATAAGTTGTGTTATTTAGGCTATTAGGTCACCATGTGGTTTACTTTTCCACAGCGGATTAGCACAGCAAGTGGGGATGGGAAGCATTACTGCTATCCACACTTCACATGTGCTGTGGACACAGAAAACATCCGTCGTGTCTTCAATGATTGCAGAGATATCATCCAGAGGATGCACCTACGGCAGTACGAGCTGTTGTGATTGGTCGTGCAGCTCGTGTCACCTTGTGCCGGGGAAAGAGAGGTTGCAATTTTCCCACGATGCAATTCCTGAGTGGAGTATATAATTGAGAGGTGTAAATGTATGCTATGAAGACAGATTTTACCAATTATATGTAAAGACAAGAAAATTTTTAATTTCCTAGAGTTGAGACTATCGTGAACAAGAACATGAACTCCCTTGTCAGAGGATCTGAAACTTCACTTGTAGTCGTTTGGTTTGTTTGTGTATACACATAAGCTAAATATACTGTAAAATTGTGATACCTTTCCACAGTATCAGCCTTTTCCATATAACAGTGGATAAGCAGACATGTCAGATATATTTCCTTTTCTTGTAATCGTCATTCCAAGTCACTACAGTGACTGTCCAAAAGGTCATAGAGGCAGTTGTATTTTGGTGAGTTAGGAAAGGGGATTACCTTGTTGCCAACCTGATCGATTTGGGATGACCAGTGGATTTCTGCCAAAGCTCTACATAACAAAAGCTTCAGTCTCTGCCTCTCTGATCTATACTGACCTTAGGCAACCTGTGTCCACTTGTGCTTTGTAAAATCTTTGTACACACAAAATCATTTCAAATGTTGACCTATTTTAACACTATGTTATGAGCCATAGGTATGCACAAAGATGATGATATTTGTGTATTTCCAGATTCTGTATAGTATAACTGCACCTGCACTAGTTGACTGAGTTGGACAAGAGCTCAAGCCTAGCCATATGTGTACATTGTAACTTATATATATCTCAGCAATAAGAGACAAGATTTCGTCATATAGGGCACATCTCTGAGAGTACATAAAGCATGTATTATCATCATCATCTTCTTCTTATCAGTATTGTTTGTGGAAATTTTGTGATGTTCCCAGTCTTGTACAGATGTATATTGATTAATTTGAAGCATTAGTTCTGTGACAGTGGGATGCTATTGCCTTCTGCCTTTCACCATTTCTCTCAATTGTACAGAGGCTTTGAAAAAAACGATGCCATGTTGTGTGGAAAATTCCACAGTCTGGTCTCTTTTGTATGGGTAAAGTTGACCTAGCTGTAAGGACAGTTAAATGAAGGCTGCTTGTAAAGCAAGAGATCTGTCTTTGTATCCCCTCACATAAATAACGTCAAGTGAACTGGAATGTGGTGTGTGCTTGTTCCTTCCTTAAGTACTTCCTTACTTCCTTAAGTTTGGTGTTTGTCATTGCTGCTGAAACAAAATGATTGTAAAGACTTCACGGCTTGGATGAATGATTCATACTCATAGAGCCTTTGTAGCTGTGATGGACAGGTACCCTCCAGTCACTGATTATCAAGTCATAAGTCTACATGTACACAATAACGTGTAACTTGTTCTATATTTTTCTTGCACGTCATTCCTTTGGTCTTGATTGATCACATGATGTACCATTAGGAGCCAGCTGAGGACCCGAGCTAGGACAGAAGTGAATATCTGTGGCTTTGGGGTTACTAAACCTGCAGGTGTCATCACCTGTGCTTTGGGGTACTAAACCTGCAGGTGTCATCACCTGTGCTTTTGGGGTTACTAAACCTGCAGGTGTCATCACCTGTGTCTTTTGGGTTACTAAACCTGCAGGTGTCATCACCTGTGGCTTTGGGGTTACTAAACCTGCAAGTGTCATCACCTGTGTCTTTTGGGTTACTAAACCTGCAGGTGTCATCACCTGTGTCTTTGGGGTTACTAAACCTGCAGGTGTCATCACCTGTGTCTTTGGGGTTACTAAACCTGCAGGTGTCATCACCTGTGTCTTTTGGGTTACTAAACCTGCAGGTGTCATCACCTGTGGCTTTCGGGTTACTAAACCTGCAGGTGTCATCACCTGTGTCTTTTGGGTTACTAAACCTACAGGTGTCATCCCCTGTAGCTTTCGGGTTACTAAACCTGCAGGTGTCATCACCTGTGTCTTTTGTAAACCTGCAGGTGTCATCACCTGTGGCATTTGGGGTTACTAAACCTACAGGTGTCATCACCTCGGGCTTTCGGTTTACCAAACCTGCAGGTGTTATCACCTGTGTCTTTTTTCCTCCAGGAATCATCACCTGTGTCATTTGTATGGCTCAAATCAGCAGGTGTCATCACCCGTGTCTTTTGGGGAAATAACCCAGCGAGCGTCATCACTCGTTTTTATCAGAGAAGCCAAACCAGGTGTCGTCACCTGTGTTCATCATTTGGATGACTCAACCCAGTTGGTGTCATCACCTATGTCCTTTTGGATGACCAAACTCAGTGGTTGCTATTGCTTGTGTCTTGGAGTACCCAGCCCAGTGGGTGTTATCTCGAAGTACAAAAGAACTTTAATGCATTAGAGTTGTAACGTATATGGCTTGTACCCATTACTTGTCCTGAGCAGTGAGGAAATGAAGTGAGCGGGCGGTGACCCGTGGGAGGATGAGGTAAAGATAACGTATGTATAATCGTGGCATAAACCATAATGTAATACGAAAGTAATCTACATCATAGAATCGTATGAATACTAATCCATTCTGTCATGTAATTCAATTGGGTATTACCCCTTTCAATACTAAGGAATTATGAAATGTTGCCATCATGTAAATATGGTCATGATTTACGTTATTTACACTATTTGTCCTCTCAAGCCCAGTTATACATGTAACAAAAAATCTGACTTTTCGGGAGCAAGTAACACTAGTTTAATTTGGGACTTCCAGTTTAATTTAGGACGACTGGCCTCCCATATCTCAGCAACCTTACACCCATTGGTCTAAAACTGAACGTGAAAATGATGTTAGAAATATGTAGCAGCCCATAACAAAGACTTTTTGTCAATTTTAAATTTTACAAAAACAGGCCAGCCTTAAACGTCCTCTACCTGTTGCCGCAAATATTCACATTATTTTAGTTTCCTTGTTATGATATGGATAACATGTTAAGATATATTTTACTTTGTGGGAGTCACAGTAGGTCAATGCGGTCTTAGTCAAAGTATTATGAAGTTTGGACTGTTAGATTTCTTGTTGAATTTGTATTAACAAATATTCTATCACTATTTTATGATAGAAGCGTTTTTTCGTCCTTTACAGCCCGACAAGAGCCAGGCGATGAGCCAGAAGTCACAAGGGCCAAATGCTTCATTAAAGATGAGTTTCTGGTGAGTTTTGTGCAAACCCATACTGTGTCAAGTAATTTGATTGTATGCCATGTACAAGTATGTCTTGAAAGTCGAGACATCAAATGATACTGACATTGAAGTGAATCAATATTGTTACCAATAGATGATCAGTCATACTGACCATAACAAGTTTTTTGTTGGGAGATTTAAGCTCTGAATAGAAATGGCTGCTTGTATATCCACAAATTTATGCCCAAAATTACACCGAGTGTATATTATAAGTTGTTATTTAGGCTTTTAGGTCACCATGTTGTTTACTTCTTCACAGCGGATTAGCAGAGGAACTGGGGATCATAGGAAGCATTACTGCTATCCACACTTCACATGCGCTGTGGACTCAGAAAACATCCGTCGTGTCTTCAATGATTGCAAAGATATCATCCAGAGGATGCACCTACATGATATTGAGCTGTTGTGATTGGTCGTGCAGCTCATGTCACCTTGTGCCGGGGAAAGAGAGGTTGCAATTTTCCCACGATGCAATTCCTGAGTGGAGTATGTAATTGAGAGGTGTAAATGTATGCTCTGAAGACAGATTTTACCAATTATATGTAAAGACAAGAAAGTTTTAATTTCCTAGTTGAGACTATCGTGAACAAGAACATAAACTCCCTTGTCAGAGGATCTGAAACTTCACTTGTAGTCGTTTGGTTTGTTTGTTTGTTTGTTTGTTTGTGTATACACAATGGCTAAATATACTGTAAAATTGTGATACCTTTCCACAGTATCAGCCTTTGGCATGTAACAGTGGATAAGCAGACATGTCAGATATATTTCCTTTTCTTGTAACCGTCATTCCAGTGAGTCACTACAGTGACTGACCAAAAGGTCATAGAGGCAGTTGTATTTTGGGGAGAAGGGGACAAAGTGCATTTTTCAGCATTGACTGATTTCTGCCAAAGCTCTACGTAACAAAAGCTTCAGTCTCTGCCTCTCTGATCTATACTGACCTTAGGCAACCTGTGTCCACTTGTGCTTTGTAAAATCTTTGTACACACAAAATCATTTCAAATGTTGACCTATTTTAACACTATGTTATGAGCCATAGGTATGCACAAAGATGATGATATTTGTGTATTTCCAGATTCTGTATAGTATAACTGCACCTGCACTAGTTGGCTGAGTTGGACAAGAGCTCAAGCCTAGCCATATGTGTACATTGTAACTTATATATATCTCAGCAATAAGAGACAAGATTTCGTCATATAGGGCACATCTCTGAGAGTACATAAAGCATGTATTATCATCATCATCTTCTTCTTATCAGTATTGTTTGTGGAAATTTTGTGATGTTCCCAGTCTTGTACAGATGTATATTGATTAATTTGAAGCATTAGTTCTGTGACAGTGGGATGCTATTGCCTTCTGCCTTTCACCATTTCTCTCAATTGTACAGAGGCTTTGAAAAAAAACGATGCCATGTTGTGTGGAAAATTCCACAGTCTGGTCTCTTTTGTATGGGTAAAGTTGACCTAGCTGTAAGGACAGTTAAATGAAGGCTGCTTGTAAAGCAAGAGATCTGTCTTTGTATCCCCTCACATAAATAACGTCAAGTGAACTGGAATGTGGTGTGTGCTTGTTCCTTCCTTCCTTAAGTACTGCTGAGTTTGGTGTTTGTCATTGCTGCAGAAACAAAATGATTGTAAAGACTTCACGGCTTGGATGAATGATTCATACTCATAGAGCCTTCGTAGCTGCGATGGACAGATACCTTCCAGTCATTGATTACCAAGTCTACATGTACACAATAACGTGTAACTTGTTCTATATTTTTCTTGCACGTCATTCCTTTGGTCTTGATTCATCACATGATGTACCATTAGGAGCCAGCTGAGGACCCGAGCTAGGACAGAAGTGAATATCTGTGGCTTTGGGATTACTAAACCTGCAGGTGTCATCACCTGTGGCTTTGGGGTTACTAAACCTGCAGGTGTCATCACCTGTGGCTTTGGGGTTACTAAACCTGCAGGTGTCATCACCTGTGTCTTTGGGGTTACTAAACCTGCAGGTGTCATCACCTGTGTCTTTGGGGTTACTAAACCTGCAGGTGTCATCACCTGTGTCTCTCGGGTTACTAAACCTGCAGGTGTCATCACCTGTGTCTTTTGTAAACCTGCAGGTGTCATCACCTGTGTCTTTTGGGTTACTAAACCTACAGGTGTCATCACCTGTGGCTTTCGGGTTACTAAACCTGCAGGTGTCATCACCTGTGGCATTTGGGTTACTAAACCTACAGGTGTCATCACCTGTGGCTTTCGGTTTACCAAACCTGCAGGTGTCATCACCTGTGTCTTTTTTCCTCCAGGAATCAT